GGCGCGCACCTGCATCACTGGCGTGCCTGGCGGCTCGTTCTCCAATATCGTGCCGGACTTGACTTCCGTAAAGAATGGAATGTTGTCGTTGACGTCCTCCACTTTGATCTTAATCTGATGCTCAGCGGCCAGCTCGAACGTGTTGCGCACGCTCATCGTCAGCGTGTACTCCGTGATGGCCTCGTAGTCGAGGCTCTTGCCCAGCTTGATGGTCACCTCGTTGCCAATCTGGTTGAAGACGAACGTATTCTTGCCGTTTGTCTGCTCGGTGCGACCCGTGATCAGCTCGAAGATCACCTCCGGCTTGTCGGGCATGTTGGACACGGCGCGCAGCGTTGCGATTGGCTGCGAAAAATTCTTCAGATTCTCCTTCAGGTAGATGGGCTCGTCAATGGGATCGACGAATGAGGGCGGCTTTATCGACGACTCCACCACACGGATGCGCACCTCGATGTGCGCCTCCTGCAGCGGATCTGGCACGATATTGAAGGCGCGCACATTTATCGTATAGGTCTGACCGGGCCGCCTGTCGATCGGCCGACTGAGATAGATGATGCCCGACTCCCTGTCGATGCGAAAGTATTGAAAGTCTCGCTCCCGCAGTATCTCATACTCCACGATGCTGTTGTTGCGATCATCAAAGTCGCTGGCACTGATCGACATGACCACTGCGTCGATCTGTAAGTAAACCAAAGAAAGAACAAAAACAATTTCGATTGAAGTTCTATATGGGAAAGATGTTCCAGTTCTAGCTCCAATTCCAGTTCTCATTCCCCTCTAAAGTGAAGAACTTGCCTGCCACAATGCGATTATGCACATTTTCCTCAAATGAAAAACTTATGCAAATGTATTCACGCAAGAAAATTCACACCAGCCAAGCCAAATGTGAGCACGAAACCCAACTGAAAAGTCTGCTTGGAAATTGGAAAACTGTAACCAGACAAGCCAAACACTTGCGCCCTTTACTACAGTGCCCACTCGCTAATTGTAACCTTGGCGAATTCGCAATTTCTATAAACACCTTGAGAGACGCCTTCTGTAACTTTCGCCATTTTTATACTGAGAAAACAAACTGGTTTTCAAGCTTCACCTCGTCTTCTTTCATTTTCAAAAGCAAAAGTTAACTAACTACAATTTTTTTCGAGTTTTTAGATCAATGAACTTTAGTTTTAAGTAAATAATTTATATATTCATTTTAATAAAATTCTATTGAGGTATTACTGTGTTTAATTTATTGATCCAATTTGTGCTGGGGTTGTCGCATAATCCCTAAATAATCAATAGTTGCACAGGGCAAACGAGAAATATACATGTATATAAATTAGTTCAAGGTCTTTTTGTGATATATGGCTTTAGGTCACGGGAACTGCTTTACATAGAACTCATTAAATATTTTAAAGAAAGTCTATCCAAAGTCAGACAAGTTTTATCTTGCATTTATCTAAAATATTCAACAAAATCTAATATCATAAATTAGCTGCTTTATTTAACTTTAGTATAAATTCAAATAAGTCTTCTTTTTATCTATATCATATTATATTATAGTCATACTATAATATAAATTTCTGCATTATTAGGGCTCTCTCTGTATGCCTACCCTATTTGCTTAGTAAATTCTAGATTTTATCTAGAATATTAATAGAAGCTATTCCCACTTCCAGACTAACATGACTTAGGCCTCGACTCGTTTGGCAGCTTTTAAGAACTATTTAACGTGGGCTGAGAGGTAGAGCGCTTCAAGGTTTCGGGACTGACTCATCGAGTCGAGAGTTGAGAGCTGAGAACTGCGAAATGCGAACTGAGAACTGAGAACAATGAACCCCAACCTGTGCCTATGCCATTTTATTTTATTTTTTTTTGCTTTAACCTAACCAGCTTTTCCAGTTGAACGCCCACTCCCACGCACGCTGAGATCCTGCTGCAGCTGCCTAGCTATACTCTTGCAGAGGTAGTAAACTAAATTAAAATATTCTCTGCTATATTTAATATACAACTTTATGTCTTTTGCATCTTCATATATGCATAGAAATTACTATATCTCTTCTCTGTTTCTCTTTCTCTTTATTTTCTCCTTAAAAATTGATGCTATCATATGACTTTTTATGGCTTATCTCTGGAATCATATATGCTAATTATTGAATATGTCTGCATTTCACGTTTTGACTCAGACTTTAACTCCATTTTTCTAACATTTTCTATAATTTTTCTTTTACATTTTCTTACTCTTTTCTTGAATGTTGCAGTATAATAATAATATTATATTTTTTAAACATTGCTTTACATTTAATACTAACTAAAATCCGTTATTTTTACGATAATACTTCAGTCTTTAAAAAGTATTTTTTAAGTACAAAGACGTCTCAGCCCTCGGTCTATACAGGGTGCCTCTAAATTTCAGCCGCCCACAAAAAGTATTTAAACATTCAGATCAGAGCATTTGGCACAGACGTAGATCAAATGGCGGTAATCCGTGGTCCGCACATTCGATTCTGACTGACGCCGAGTGCTCAGCTTGCAAGGATTACTCACCATGGTGTTCTCGGACATGGACTCATCGTAGCGCGCCTTGTTGAAGACAGGCGGATTGTCGTTGATATCCTCGATGGTCACATTGAAGGTGCACACATCGTCCAGCGGCGGCAGGCCGTTATCCGTGGCCTGCACCGTGACGAAGACGAATTTCTCGTGGATGGGCTCGTCGCGGTCGAAGATGTGCGCCGTCACAATGACGCCGGAGGTCGGATGGATGACGAACTTGGCGCGATCGAAGGCTGACTGTACCAGGCTGTAGGTTATCTCCTGATTGGGATCCGGGTCTGTTGCCTGCACGGTGAACACGTACGTATTCTCCGGCTGCTCCTCCTTGACGGAGGGCGCATAGCCGGCGCAGTTCTTGAACGCGGGCTTTCGATTGTCGCCCAAATAGTTGTCGTATCTGCTAGAGCTGGAGCTGGAGGAGACGGCTTGCAGTGCTCCGACAAACTGGGCGGGTAAGCAAACGAAGGCGGCAACAACAACAACCAGCGCTATCATCGCCGGTCTCTGTGACCGAATGCAGGTGTAGCAACTTGTTGTTGTTGTTGTTGTTGTAGAGCGACATTTTCGCTTGTGTTGCTGATGTGGCTGCTGTTGAGCGGGATTCGTATTGCTGCTGCTGCTGTTGCTGTTGTATTGTGAGTGTAAAGACATTTTATAGCATTTTATTCTGTTTACACGGAAGGCGGAAGGGGATGTCGCACGTGAGAGGGGATTTCAATCTAATCAAGTTGTCGATATCATCGTAGTAACAAAACAACAGAAATCACTAAATGAATAACCCGGTATTTTTTTTTTTTTTTTTTTTTTTTCCACGATTTTGATGACTTTATATATATATATGTGTGTGTGTGGATCACGGGTTCACGTTACTTTACTTTTCTATTGAACTCGAATTCTTAAAATTCGTTCTCTCGCTCACGCTATTGCTCACTTTTGCTCTTGCTCTATCTCTCTTCCGCTCACTCTCACAATCGTTTTTTTGTGTTTGTGTGTTTGGCAGTTTGTTTAGACTGCATTTTCATGGCAACCGACGCACGAAATACTTTGTAAAATCGAACTCAAATCAACTTGCAATTAATTTAATTATTTTTCATTCAACTTTTAGAATTTATGCTCATTTAGCTTGAGAATAGAATTTGCTCATTTGCTTTGGTATTCACATTGATTGCCAACTTTGCTTTGTTCAGCTCTTCGTTGTTGCGGCTCTACGGCTTTTTTCACTCTCGCGAACAAACAGGTAAATCCAGGTAAAAAGCGGTTTCACACACACGCAAGCGCGCATACACACACAGAGGCTGCCTCTTTCACAGTAACGTAAGGGAGTGTGTGTGTGTGCTTAAGAGCGTTGTTTGGTCAGTGCACTTGTATTTGTTACCAACACGTATGAATACATATGTGTGTTTCAGTGTAAACGTTGGCAAAACCAAGGAAAAAGGCACTTTTGTTACTTTTGTGGCGTTTGCACAAGTCACAAGCTCGGTTTGTTCGTTGTTTAATTGCTAACTGCACTGCAAAACAGTCGACTTTAATTTACTCTATTCGTATATTAGACGTAAATCGGATTTTGTTTTGATTCAATTTTATTCACAATTGCTTTGTGATCTTGTTTGAAAGCAACCGTTAGATGAGACGAAGCGGCAACGCGAAACCGAAACACACGAGCGTCCGCACGATTCAACTGCGAGAGACGGAATGAGCAACAAGCCGAAAATGAGCGGCAATTCAGCGAGCGAGCAGCCTCAATGCCGATATATCGATATTAAATTGATGCGATAGTATATATAGTATATTGTGAATGATGTTAATTAACATAATGGCTTGAGCTACTTTCTTCTGTAAAGATCTTACAGTTTGGAGATTATGTTAGTGGCCGTCGTCGTCGAAATTCAAATTACGAAGTTCGCATTTTGTATGTTCGTTCCGTTATTTAAATGCTATTTTAGCGATTTGATAGTAAACTGGATCAGTAGAATATTCGATTGTCTTGCATTTGTTTAATATATGTATAATACATAAGCAATATGTACTTAGTACTTTTTAATATTCAATTACATAATAGATTTACCTAACAAAGGTAGAACCTCCGTTAATATTTAATCTGAGCTTTAATAATTTTTCGAACATACTTTGAATCAAGGCATCTTCGAACTCCGAAAATAATATAAATCCGCTTTTTGTTTAATTGATCCTAAAAGTATGTATTTGTTTTTGTAAACTCTTGTATGATGCATATTTACATAGATGTTACATTAATATATTATTAAAATGACTATGCCAACATAGTTGTTATTTATACATTTAATTCAATTGATACCAATTCCGGCCTAATGTAATAAATACATAAATAATATATGTATATTCGCCGGCAAAAATCGATAGCGCAGTATCGTTAAATTTGCTCTCGAATATCGATACATGAATGCGATGTTGCACTAGTCGCTAAGTAATATACTAAATAAATACCAAAAGAAAAACTCTGTCATCGTCATCGTTCATTGTCTTTTCATTAATTGCTTGAAAAAGTGGAAAAAGGCCGGATTAACTTTAATACGGGTAGAAAAATAAAGTTTCAAACAATATTGGCGGAAACACATGCCAGTAGCAACTGCCTTGCACACCCATATACACGTACTGTGCAATACTGCGATAGTTTAACATCACCAACAGCAACAACAATAACAACCTAAAAACCAAACACTGCCCCGAATTCGTGAATCACCAAACGAAAGAATGGAACAAACACAGATTACAGATGCGGAAAAGGTTCGCATTGTCTCCGAGTTCATACTGCATGCGCCGCCCGGTGAATTCAATGAGGTATTCAACGATGTCCGCGAGCTACTGAAAAACGACTCCTTGCTGAAGGATGGCGCCAGCCACGCCTTCTCCCAATACAACAAGGACCAATTAACGCCCGTGCGGGTCGAGGGCAGTGAACACAATGCGATCATCTCTGAGTACAATGATTTGGGTGCGTATATCAACTCCAATTTATGCAATTCAGCCTGCAAGTGATGGAATGGGGTAGGGGTAGGCCATCGGAGTAGGAGGAGGAGTGGGCGTCAGCTGCTGAGAGTTTGTTTGCTTATATTTTTGTGGCTTTTACCTTATATGGGCATACGTTGCAGAGTCAGCCGAAACACACACAGACACATGCACGCTTACAGTATTTACAACTCGTTACAGTGGAAGCAATTGTTGAATTGAATGTTAATAATTCATCAAAGTTAATTTATTAAAGTAATAGTATATATTTTTATTAAAATTCAATAGCTGCAATCTAATTCTAATTGGAAATCGCTATGTGAATTTCAGATATCATCAATATATTATCAAAAATTAGTCATAGATAAAATGAATTCCATTTTTGGTCCCCTTTCAAAAAAGTTGAGTTAGAGTTTTTGTAATATTATTATTTATTTATATGTCTAGATTCGTCACTACAATTTTCAAAGATTTCTTATCGTCTAAGATATAGATATTGATAAGATATAAAAATTTCCCCCGTATTTAATAAATTTTCTAATCGAAGTTGCTTACATTTATAGGGAATGGTCGCTTCTTCGATCCTCGCACAAAGCAATCGTTTAAGTACGATCATCTACGGAAAGAGGCGTCCGACTACCAGGATCTTAAGGCAGATGCCAATGCAGAGTCGTGGCGAGCTGCCCTGGATCTAGCTGCCTTAGCATATACCGCCAACCACTATAGGCACGGCGTAAGTTCAATTAACTAAATACATTGGTATATATATATTTACACATTATACATTATTTATGGTGCAGGTGTGCTCCGTGTTTGGCAAGTCTCAGGGAAATCAGATAACTCTGACCATTTGCATTGAGGATCATCAGTTCCAGCCGAAGAACTATTGGAATGGCAGATGGCGTTCGCAGTGGCACGTTAGCTTCCAACCTGGTTGCGGCCTGGCCGAGCTGAAGGGCGTGCTGAAGGTGCAGGTGCACTACTATGAGGATGGCAATGTTCAGCTGGTGTCATCGAAGGATTGCCGCGAGAGCGTGGTTGTCTCCAATGAACAGCAGTTGGCCAACGAGGTAATTCGCCTGATTGAGGAGGCGGAGAACGAGTATCAGCTGGCCATCTCGGAGAACTACCAAACTATGTCGGACACCACATTCAAGGCGATGCGGCGACAGCTGCCCATAACCAAAACCAAGATTGACTGGAGCAAAATCGTATCGTACAGTATTGGTAAAGAGCTAAAGACGCAATAAGAACAGGAGCAGCAAGCGGAAGCCGGTGGCACGCCAATATCCCCGTTGCCCATGGCAGTGCCGGCGCAGTCGCAGATCAAGAGACCCAACAGTCTTCCACTTGCAATGGCCAAGCGAGAGTAGTGAACGGAGCAGAAACGGAGATCGCAGCCAGAACCATATATATACACTATCTATTTACGATCGTTAAATGTTGGCGCTTATGTAATAACTGTCTTTAATTTGCTTATCTTTTACACAACACAACACAACACACATGCATCAATACTTAACTACTACATCTACATACATATACGTGCACAGTGCATACATTTCTTATCTGTTATATTACGATGAAAGTGGATATGTATATATATATATATGAACGAAACATACACCAACACACTCACACACAATACGCATACTATGTGCACATATTCGTGTATGTGCAACACAATGTATCAAATCAATTAAACTTGGATGATTGTCGTCAGCTCGAACCTGGATCATAGTCACAATCGCCACCAACAGTCGCCTTTATCGTTTAATTAAGCGCGTGTTTTTAATTCTAATAATAATAATAATGATAATAATAATAGAATGCATGTACTTTCAATAATGTATTATAAATTTATAAGAGCATCGGTCCATTTATGTATGTAACCCTTGTCTCTCTCTCTATCTCTCACTGAAGCTGGCATCAGTTAGATCTTAAGCGACAGCACCTTGCAAACAAACAGTAACAGTATAAACAATTTATATACAATCTTTTTTAACAAACGAACAATAATTCAATGCATTCAATAAACACACCTACGCAATTGCAAGATAATTAACAAAAACTATTAATATAAATATACATACAAATATTTATATATATACAAAAGAGCGCTGCATAAACAAACAAAACAAAAATACGTTTTTTGTTCAATGAGACTTTGGTTTTATTTTTGAAATTTTTTGTATACTAAAATTGATAATTAAAAGCTTGCATAGTCAAATTTAATAACAATAAATGAAATAAATTGACAATTTTGATTTATCGCATGCGTCCGCCATCTGCCGTGTGAACGAAAGCCGATGATTCTTCCGCTTGGTGAAGTGGCTGTGGCTTCGGGTATCCGTGTCTCTCATAATGTGGTACGCCGGCTGGTAACTCTGAGTGTTTGGGCTCCGTTTGGTCCCGTACCGAGTATTCATCTTGTTTTTTAAGCAAAAAACGCTTATTGGGATGCTGATTGGCCTCCAACTCTAGTCGATCTATGAGCCAGCCGTCTTCCTTATTTATTGCCCAAAAGAAAAGTTTGCCCTTGTCCTTGGGACCACGCACAGAAATCTCGAATTGGGCGCTCTCTGCATTACACGTGTTGGCCGAATTGGATATGTCGAAGCCAGAGTCCTTTATGGGTTCGCCTAGCAATCCGACCGCACCTACAAAACTTGTTTACATTTTAACCGAACAGCTGGGCTGGGTCTATCCACCTTACCTTTGTGTTGGCGTAGTGTTTGCAGTGCCAATTTATAATACTCTGAGGAACGCACACGATCTTCGAGTTTCCAGCGCATGAACATTACCGCTGAGATGGACACCATAGCGCCATATACACATATGTTGCCCAGTGTCCGATTGGACGGGAGCCGCAGTTTAAATGTCGGCATTATTTTATTCAAATTCGCATTTGCTCAACTTGTATAATTTTGTTATCGCTCTTTTGCCGGTGCAGGAATGATTCCGATAGATTATTGCATGTGTGACCGTTTGTTGAATTTAATCTGGTTATACAACTGTATCGCTATTGTTAAAGCGTGTTGTAAATATAGGAATGAATTAAAAGTTGAAGTTGAAGTCAAAGTTAACTAGAAATACTACAGATATGAACCACCTGACGCTTACCTTCAATTTGTTAAGGCAGCGCCTTACGTTCACAGCGACTGCGGCGCGCTGCTATGCAGCCAAACCGGCTGCTGTGGCAGCAGGTAAGTTTGCCATTATTTGTATACTCCTATTTACATGCATTGATTGATAATCTATTTTGAATAATGTAATTATATAGTGGGCAAAAAGAAGAAGCTGGGCAAGCTGGGGCCCATCATGGAAAAGAAGATAATACCAGTTGAAACGGATGCAAACAAATTGGTCAACTACGTGTGCGGCAGCAACTATATGAAGACTGGCGAGGACATCAAGGTAAATATCAATATAAAAGTGTCCTGATGGTGTAATTAATCATTGCTCATCTCCAGCTCAAGCCCGACTCGGAGTACCCAGACTGGCTGTGGACCTTAAATACCGAACGCATCATACCGCTGGAAGAATTGGATCCCAACACAAAACAGTATTGGCGCCGCCTACGTAAAATGGCTCTGCGGCGCAACAATCAACTGTCCAAGCTGAAGAAGTTCTAAGTGCGTTATTTTCTCTGTGCCTGGCGGCTGGTCACACTGCTCACCCGGCCTTCAACTGTTTAAACGAATCGTCGTATGTCGCTTTCTTTGGTCAGCCGAGAATTCTTTTATTATTTACCTTGCTGTTGGAGCAAGAATAAACACTTCGATTACTTTTATTGCTACGTTCTTGTAGCATAACATGTATACAAGCTTTTATTTAACAACAACTTGCACTTATCGATTACATTGTTTATGTTTATTTTGCACACTAGCAAATTGTATAAAATGCGAGCGTAAGACAAAAATCTTAATCAATATTGTAAAAGAATTGAAAAGGCTAACTTAAAATGTGGAATTGTTGGATTTTAGAATTATTGTTTGCAATGCCGCTGATGGCAGTTGCAGGAGCAACGGAGCCCACTAGTAAGTATATATGGTTGAATCACAGGTCAATAATAACTATCCATAAATCCGCACCCAGAGCACGTTGTGTGCTACCAGGGCACTTGGTCCACCTATCGGCCAAAGGAGGGCAAGTTTGGTGTGGAGGATATTGATCCGTTTCTGTGCACACACTTGGTATACGCCTTTCTGGGCATACAAGAGAGCGGCGAGCTACGTGTCATAGATCCCTATTTAGACCTGGAGGATAATGGAGGCCTTGGCAACATCAAGAAATTTAATGCGCTCAAGCTAAAGAATCCCACGCTGAAAACGCTGCTCGCTGTTGGCGGCTGGAATGAGGGCTCCAAGCGCTTCTCGATTGTGGCCAACGATCCGGAGAAGCGTTCGCGGTTCGTTGAGCAAGTCGTGCAGTTTATCCAACGACATGGCTTCGATGGACTGGACCTGGACTGGGAATATCCAGGACAGCGTCATAATCTGAACGAGAACAACGATCGCGAAAACTATGTAGCTTTGCTCAAGGAACTGAAGGCGGGCCTAAATCCCTTTGGCTACATACTCAGCGCTGCCGTGGGCTCAGCTGAGTTTTCGGCCAGCATATCGTATGATATACCAGCCATATCTGAGTACTTGGACATAATTAATGTTATGGCCTACGACCTGCACGGTCCGTGGGATGAATCTGTGGCCATCAATGCGCCTTTATATGCGGGTGCAAACGATACGACGCAACGGGCACAGCAGCTAAACGTGGATGCAGTCATCAAGTATTGGATAGACTCTGGAGCGCCGCCTGAGAAACTGATGCTGGGAGTGCCCTTTTATGGTCGTACCTTCACACTAGCTTCGGCCGAAGGTCATATGCCCGGTGCACTGCATATAGGACGTGGCATAGCTGGGCCCTACTCACGGGAGCCGGGCGTTCTGGGCTACAATGAGTTGTGCGAGCTCTTTCAGCGCGAGCAGTGGACGTTGGGCTGGGAGGCGATGCAACAAGTGCCATTCGCCTTCAGGGAGCGCCAATGGGTGGGCTACGAGAACACGAACAGCTTGATGCTGAAAGCACAATATGCCACGGAGCACAAGCTGGGCGGCATAATGATTTGGTCTCTTGAATCGGACGACTTTCGTGGCAGCTGTGGCGGCGAAAGTTTTCCCCTGCTGCGCAGCATAAACCGAGTGCTCTTCGGGAGGGACAATCCGACTGGACTCGCCGCTGAGATGCAGCAGCCAGCAGCAGCGACTCAGAGCGGCGATGGAGTCGCTGACTCTTGCTGCCGCGACACCAATGGCTATGTGAGGGATCCCAACAACTGTTCCAAGTTCTATTACTGCAACGGCGGTGCGACCTTCATGTTCGACTGCCCATCGGGTTTGGTGTTTGATGCCAACACAAACAACTGCAACTATGCAGACCTAGTAGAATGCTAATTGTACAGTTTTTATTTACTGACTATTTACTATAAACTGGAATGTATACAATGTAACTGAGAGTTAGTCAACTACCTTCAGGTTGAGGGGCAAGTCGCGGAAGTTGTAGCCATCTTGGCCTGGACGCCAGGTGACAAAGTTGTTGGAGCACTTCACCTGCTCGGCGGGCTTGCACTCGCCCACCTCCTCGTCGAAGAAGTCGCCGTCTGGGCACTCGTAGTCGGTGCGCTGGGCATCGCGGCACTCATAATACGCCTGACAGTCCCACACATTGCGGAACAGTCCCTCCCTGGGACAGAGGCCGATGCCCTCGGTGGTGGGCGCGGCAGTTGTTAGGACATTGGGATTGCCTATTTTCGATACGATTACTTTGAGCAGAGCGTAGCGCTCACCGCATCGGCCAGAGAAGTCGTCGGCATCGATGGACCATGCCATGGCGCCACCCAATCGTTGATCCCTAACTAGACGCAATTTGGCGCTGATGCTGCTGCCGTCCTCATAGCTGATCCACTGGTCAGCCTTAAAGGCATATGGCACATGCGCCTGCTTGTCAAACTTCTTTGTCCACTTGGAGGCTTGGGTGCAGAACTCGGCGTAGGTCAAATATCCGGGCTGCTTGGAGGAAACGTGCTGCAGGCCGGGTCCCTTGCTGGGCGCATTGACATTCGTCTGGCTCTGGTCGCGAAGGGTATATGTTTGTCCGAACAGCGGAATACCAAGGATCAGCTTTTGTGGCATTTTGCTCTGCTCGACCCAGTGCTTGATGCCGCGCTCCACGCTCTGACTGCCGTTGCCACGGAGCGGCGACATGTAGTTCACCTGCTGCGCGTATATGTCGTGCGAGTCGTGGCTGTTGAGGATAATGAAATCGACGATTTTCGCTATCCTCGGAATATCGTAGGCAGCGAGAGTGTTCTTGTCCAGCCGCGCAGAAACGGTGACCAGAAGCAGAAAGTGATGTTCCTCCAGGCTATTTGGGAGGTGTTGTTAGACCCAATAGGACTCAGGGGATCTCCCTTGCACTTACATGATCTTCAGCTCTTTCAGTAATGTGATAAAGTTGTGGCGATCCACGAAATGACCCCCATGCTGGGTGGGAAACTCCCAATTCAGGAGCACTCCGCTAAAGCCCCGTTCGAAGAGGAATTTTGTTAGAGTAACATAAAACTGATCGCGTTTGCGCAGGCTCGCTGCCATCCTGGAGAATCTTTCGGCGTCGCCTTTCTTATCGCCAATGGATAGAATTGCCTGATAGTTGTCGCGTCTCATACTCAAGACATCAGACAGGAGTCCTGCAGGACACTCGAGTAAATTTAGATACCACACTATCTGCAGAGAGATATTTACCTCGCCCCTCAAGCATGCCCTCATTTATGACCTTCAAGGCGCCCGACCCGTCGGGGTCCAAACTGGCCACAGACCCATAGACGAAATGTGTGCACAACTTTCTGTCTATTGTCCAGGAATTGAAGTAGCTCAATCCCTTGCGATCATAGGATTCAGTATTCCAGTAGCAAAATATTGAATCTACGGATTGTATTTATATATAACAGAGTATATATATTCTATATAAGTCCTCTACCCACGTTTTGTGCCTGTCGTCTGCTCGCAGATCAGCGAAGTTATGAAAATTAATACACACAGAAATTTCATAGCGCCGATTGCATTACATTTATTTAACAAACAAAAAATTACTAGAAATTTAAGATTATCTTATATACACATAGATATAAGATGGTCGCGTTTTTTCGCGTGTTTTCTTTTTGAAATATTACAACTGATAAATAAGTTCAATTTAAGCTTCAATAAAGTGTTAAAACATGAGTAATTTCTGATATGTAAATTAGGTGTTTTATGGAAGGTAATATTTATTTCAAAGGTTACTTGAATGGGAATGAAAAGCTTGAATTGCTATACTTTTTTTATTATGTATGATTTAGGGTCTGTAGCTCTTACATATGTAAACCTTTAAAAGCATTTAAAAATTTCTGTTGATTGGAAATAAAAAAACTTGATCCCAAAAGCTATTGAAATATTACCTAAATTGTACTCTGATCTTTGAAAAGATGGGAAGTGGGAAAATATTATGCGAATAATAAAATCTATATAATATATGTATGTATATATAAAAGGATTTAGTCTTCTTTCTGCTCGCTCGAAATTCATTCAGAATATATTAAATATAATCGCACAACTAACAGCTTGTTCATACAATGACAATATGCACTCACATATTCAAGTATTCGCTTATATAATCAAATATATGTTTATGCATTTTTATGTCATTTTTTTTGGCAATCAAATTTTAATGTGCCATTAAATGTGGCAATAAAGTGCGACGGAACAAGCGATATTCATATCAAGAAAAAGTCAACTCAGGTATATAACATACTTCAGATTTTTCTTTCAGCTGAGCAACCGGACATGTACATACACAAATACATATAAATACACACACACACACACACACATATACATATAATATATGTTTCCTTCAGTTGCGCATCCGGCACTTTATGTGTGAACAACAATGAAACAAATTTTACGATTATTACTGATTTAAAAACAAAGTCGATCGATTTTACGCCAATTCGTTTACATAAATACACAAATTTATGTACCTCAGCCTCAATTGCTGGCAAGAGTAAGGCCTCAAGCTTTCTCTTTCCAGAGACCTATTTGAAATCCTTGGAGCCAGCGAAAAACATATAAATATCCATAAAAATCATTGATTACAGCTGTTTGTTAGTTAAACAAAGGAAATTTGTTTTACTTTGCGAGTGAAAATATATCTTGGAAAGTCTGGTGAAAACAAATAAATCTCGTACGTATGTATATCTGCGTAAAGTTAATAGACCTGTTTAGTATTATAGTATATTCAAAGAAATGAAAAGAAAACAAACGAAAGAAGAGGGAGACGCTGAAAGAGAACGACAGAGTTTGAAATTATATACACTATACGAGGCAAAAAAGAACAACAGAGAGAAAGAGAGAGACAGAGAGAGAGAGAGAGAAGAATAGATTGAGATAGGGGAATAGAGAGAGAAAAGAATAGAATGAGATAGAGAAAGACCCAAAGAGCGAGATACAGAAATTACTGGAAGGGAGCGAAGAAAAAAGTGAGGTAGCAAAATAGAGTGAGGTATGTTGATCAAGGGAGTAGTTTTCATAGGAGTAGCTTTCATAGGAGCATTTGACACACTCATCAATTAGTCTCACACATTTTAGGGCGAATTCGGATTGCACTCCTAATGGGCTATACGAAAATAACAGACCTTTACACCTAAGTAAGTCGAAATAAAGAAAATGAGAGCGATAAAGCTGATATTGTAATATCTAGACATGGCTGGGAAAGAGAGTTCGACATGGCATACAGACGACTTTGATAGACTATGCAGCCAGCTAGAGACCTGTCCGATAAAAGTGAGCACTGGCTAGAGACAACAGAGTCAGAGGAGTATTGCTATCTATCTATCGTTGCAGGGCCTAACTTCTTCAGTGGCCGCAAAGCGCTTGGCTTTAAATGGCAAAAACAAAATGAGCTTGCCGGAGAGACCTGGATTCAGATGTGTGAGGTTTGCCAAAAACTGTTTTCGTGGCCTGGCCTCAACCGTATTTGTCGCCATAATTTTCTGTTACATTCTATATTATGTGGAGCAGGAGAACCCAACCGATCGACATGCTGAAAATGAATACCTAACGGTCACCATTATTTTGTTGATAGTATTTTTAGTGTCTGGCTTGCTTCGTTATATTCAGGAGAACGACGACTACCTGGTTGCCTGGGCATTCATGGAGCTGATGCCCATGTACTGTACAGTCGTCCGAGACGGCCGGATGCAGATAATACGCTCCGAAAATGTCGTTGTGGGCGACATACTGATAATCGCGTATGGGGAGCGCATTGCGGCCGATGTTCGAATCTTTTACTCCGAGGATCTGGAGGTGGACAATGTGGCGCTCACCGGGTACTCGACCTCGGTTACCATCATACCGGATGTTACGCATCAAGACAAATGGATCTCGCGCAATGTGGGCCTGGCGTGCAGCCATGTTACGCAGGGCTCTGGCCGGGGTCTGGTCATTGCCTGTGGCGATGATTCCGAGGTTGGGATCATGGCACGTCTGAGCATGGAGCCACGCCCACTGACCAGACCACGTAAAAATATGAAGCAGGTCGGCGTTACTAGACTCTATGTATATGTATAATTTAATTGAAAATTTGGATCTGCATTCGGTCAATTTACTTCAGGTGGTCTTCTATAGGTACATCATCTGGTTCATCATGTTCGGCGTTACCGTTATATCGATAACAATCACGGGCCTGAGCATTCCTAATCTGCTTGAGTTCTATGTTAGCCTGACGGTATTCTCGTCCCCTCTGTATGTGCCCAGCCTGGTGTTCATTGGCCTGTGGATCACCAAAAACAATTTGACTGAGATCGGCTGCTACGTTCGCAACATGGAGTCCGTCTCCACTCTGGGCCTGACGACCGTAATTTGCAGCAACCTGCTTGGGTCCATGACGCAGCGAACTTGGCAGATCTCCGAGCTGTTTGTCGATGGCGAACTACTCAATGTGCAATCGTATTTCGATGAGACCGATCATTTTCGGCATCTGATTCGCGCCTCCGTGCTGTGCAATCACGCCAACTTCGCGCCCGGCCAGAGGGGCCTGCCCGCCAATCAGCAGACGCTCGACGGCACCGACTACGAGAAGGCGGTGCTCAAGTTCGCCATCCGGTTTGTGGAGAACCTTCATGTGCTGCGCGTCAAGCATAAGAGAGTCGCTTGCAAGTCCGTGGACACCATTAGCCATCTGCAGGTTAGCGTCCATATGACGGTCAATGACCGTGATGAGAGGGAGTATTACCTGTATATACGCGGGCATTGGAACGAGGTCATGGATCACTGCACCACTTGCTATATGGATAATGAGGCTGAGCCAGTGGAGCTGAGCGCAGACCTGCAAAGTGAGGTCGTTAGTCATGGCCTCCAGCTGGAAAGGCTGGGCAGGCACACATACGCCTTTGCCTCCAAGAGACTGGACGCGGATGATTATATGCTGTCGTTGATCTCGAACAGTTTTAGTTATAGCAACAAGAACACCTTTCTGAGCTTCATGAAAATGTATTCGGACTCCATGTGCTTCTTGGGCCTCATTGCGGCACAAAATCCGCCGTATCCCCATGTCATAGATGCCATCGCTCAGTGTCGCACCGCGGGCATCAAGCTGGTGCTCATGACGCGGACCAGCGTGAATTTCGCGCGTGCCATTGCCAGAGCTGTGGGCGTCTTTGGGGAGGACAGCGACACCGCTGACATGGCGGAGAGATTCAACATGGCATTGCCCCGGGTCGAGCACCGGGTGGTCACTGCGATCACGGTCAACATGCAGAACATGAGCACGCAGGTGCACCACCAGCGCTGGAACATCGAGCAATTGCTCCTCTCCCATGAGGACGTCGTCTTCAGCCGGATTGCCGTCGCCCAGCGCTACCTGATCATCGATACCTGCCTGCAGCTGGGCGCTGTGGTCACGGCGATCGGCAGCTCCGTCCACGATACGTCGGCCATCCGGTGCGCGAACGTGGGCGTCTCTGAGAGCGCCTCGTCCCACGTGAGCCAGTCCTGTGCCGACATCATTGTGCTGGAGAACAACTTTGTGGCGGTGGTGAGGGCCATTGCCGAGAGTCGCCTGCTATTTGAGAACCAGAAAAAGGCCTTGGTCTATGGGCTGGCCTCGAATATGTCCATGATAGTGATTCACTTCCTGTTCGTAGTGCTGCAGATGCCATTCCGAATGCCTCTGGTGCCGTTATTATTCATTTCATTCTTTGTGAACATGGTATGGCATCGGGCATCGGAGGTGAAGCTCGCCAGATTCCATATTTAGCATTTTTTTTCCTTCCAGATACCTGCTTCCACGCTGTTCTATGAGCCTCCCGAGTTTGATCTTATGAGCGTGTTGCCAAGGGTCAATGAGGATTTCTTGATTAATCGACGGTAAAGCGGGAATTTCTTAGCTGAACTAAAAATCCAGCTTAATCTTCCCTCTATTCACGCATGTTTCAGCATGCTGTTTGTGTCCTACATAAATGTGGGTGTCCTGGAGGCCAGCGCCGTGGTACTGGCCTACACTGTATACATGCTGCGCAATGGTTTCCTGCCGGGAGCCCTGTTCGGCCTCAGTGCGCAATGGTATGATGATTCCCTCAATGATATGATAGACTCGTATGGCCAAGAATGGGCAAGTATCTATGCGATTCTCATCAGAGATCTCTCGTCCTAGCGACTTCATCTGCAGACGCGCAGTGCACGGCTTCAGTTGGAGTATGAGATGACTTCGGTGATCGTCATCACCTTAACTTTAATGCAGGGCGTTAATCTGGTCATTTCCAAAACATCACGCATCAGTCTCCTTAAGCATGGCTTTGGCAATCTCCGTCTGAACCTTGCCCTTGTCTATATGATCGGCATCTGTTTTATATTCACCTTTACAAGTGCGCCAGAACAACTGCAAAGTTTACCTGTCAAGTGCGTGATTTCAGTGGAGCATATCGGTTATATTCATTGAATTTGAATTTATGTCTTTCAGCTATCTGCCCATCTTCCTATATATCTTCCCGTTGGCCATACTAACCGTTATCTTAGAAACAATGCGACGTTATTTAGTGAGAAAATATCCTGGTGGCTGGCTTGAAGAGGTATCATATTACGGATGTCTATGAGAATATATATGAGTATGTGAATATGTGAATATGAATATATGTATGTATGAATATATGAATATATGAATATATGAATATATGAATATATGAATATATGAATATATGAATATATGAATATATGAATATATGAATATATGAATATATGAATATATGAATATATGAATATATGAATATATGAATATATGAATATATGAATATATGAATATATGAATATATGAATATATGAATATATGAATATATGAATATATGAATATATGAATATATGAATATATGAATATATGAATATATGAATATATGAATATATGAATATATGAATATATGAATA